GTACCATGGAGCAGGGATGGAGGGTGGGAAGACTATTCAGACATCTGTCTGGGGATCTTCAGTGGTAAGGTGTTTTCTGTGTTTCGAGTTTTCTAGACATGTACACATTTTCTGCTCTGATTGTGCTGTCTGTATCTGTACCATCGGTCACAGTGAGCAATAGGACCCAGCTGGCATCCGCAGGCCAAAAGGCCAAGTATCCTTCAGGTGAAGAAGGGATGGAGCACGTGGTGAGACCTAGGTACTGTTTCCAGGGGTAGCTTCATAGCAACACCCAGAGGAGAGGTCCCACATCTCTGGGGCTGCAGATACAGTTGACATTGAAACAAGACCACCCCAAACCAGTGCCCTGCAGTCAGGAGCACAAGACCAGAGCCCTCTGAGTGGGGCTGATATAGTTAGCTGGCACCGATCTGGGGATACCAGGGTGGGCAGGGCCCCGAGCCTTGGGGTCTTTGATGCATCAAGAACCCAGGATGATGTCATCAGGCCCCAAGGGGCCCAATTCCCTGAGCAGCATGGGGTCTCAGTCTTTGCCCCTTGAAACACACAGGCCTTCAGCCACTTTGCACAGTAAATAAAGAAGCTAAGGTTCTATATTGATTTGGTTTGGTTTTTGAGACAGGGTTTTGCTCTATAGCCCTGGCAGATATGCTACTTATTCTATAGCCCTGGCTAGCCTGGAAGTCCTGGCAAGCCTTTTGCCTCAGCTTCTGGAGTGCTGGTGTGTATCTAGACATTTGTGTGTGTGTGTGTGCGCGCGCATTACTTTCCTACCTAGTGCCCATAGAGGCCAAAAGAAGGTGTTGTTGGAGTTACAGACAGTTGTGAGCCACCATGTGGGTGCTGAGAATTGAATCTGGGTCCTCTGGAAAAGCAGCCAGTGCCCTTAACCACTGAACCACCTGTTCAGGCCTACATTTAGACTCTTAAAGTATATTCTCTCCCCTCTAATCCTCATTCAGCCTCATGGTAGATAGAGGCACAGCTGGATTCATACCTGCTCACACTAGATCCTGCCTCTGTAGAGCTTCCTCATGCAAAGCAGGCTTCCGAGCTTGGGGAAGGGGAACATGCCCCCCCACCCCCACGGGAGCAGTTCAGATGGCCCAGTGGACTGCTCATTAAGCTTCCTGGTAGTGGTCAGGGGTAATGGCCAGGAGGAGTTTAGAGGTCTTGGAGAGCTTGCTGGCCACCCACTAGCCTCACCCCTTGGCCAGTGGCCCACGTGGAGAAAGGCACGGAGATCTACTCCACACTCGTGCTGGAGCCCCGCCCAGACTAGATCAGTGTCCACTCCCTACATTGTTACTGTTTTCTATTCTATTTTTGAGACAAGGTCTCACTGTGTAGCCCCAGCTAGCTTGGAACTTGCTATGTGAACCAGGCTGGCCTTGAACTCAGTAATCTGCCTGCCTCTGCCTCCTAAGGGCTGCAATCAAAGGCGTGTGCCGCCATGCTTAGCTGTTTTTCTTTTTTTGATGCTTTTTTTTTCTTTCTTTTTAAATTGTATTTTTCAATAGGACCTTTGTTTCCATATTCATAGCTTTCTGGGGATGTAGCACAAGGCTCAGTTAGAGCCACCACGTGGATCAAACAGACCCACACCTTGCCGGTATAGACTCATGGTCTACAGGTATCAGAGTCATTGTACAGTCCCACAAAACCTGAGGCAGGTGTGTGGAGAGGGAAGGAGAACAAGGGGATGGAGCTGAGTATGGCTGACCCTGGGCTGGAAGACTAAATGGGCTCCCTAAGGGAAGAGCTTTTGAGCTGGGCTCTGAAAGATGAGCGGGGGTGCATGGGTCAGAGTGGGGAATGGACATATGGACACGGGAAACAGCCGGGGCAAGGCCCTGGGCCCACGGGAAAGAGCTGTGCATTGGCAGCTCAGCTCTTGAACAGGGTGGGGCTGGAGAGCCGGGTGCTTAGAGTCAGACACTTCAAAAGGCAAAGGGACGGGGAGAACCCATGCAGGGCCTCGGGCCAAGTGATCTCAGCTTTTGGGATGGAGAACCAGGAGTTCAAGGTCATCACCAGTTACATAGTAAGTTCAAGGCCAGCTTGAACTATAAGAGGCCCTATCTCACCAAACAAAAGATGACCACCTGGTGAAGGGGTAGGCTTCATACTAGGAGTGGAAAGTTATAGATGTCTCGAGAGGTGCTTCAGACATGGAACAGGAAACTCATGTCCCAGAAGTGTGCATCCAAAGAATGAATGTGTCTATCCTTTTGCCCAGAAGCTGCCCCTGGAGCTGGGCTCCACACAACCTGGGCCAATCATGTGTGAGGTCAGCTGTCACTCACTGAGTCGTGTTGTCCTGGAGGGGTTCTCGGGTCTGTCAGGGATGCTGGCAAGGGCTTCTCTAGTGGGTGAGATCTGGTTAGGTCAGCGAGGGTCTTCTGGAATTCGGTTAGAAACAGGTAGTGTTCTATTCATCTAGACCAGTGGTTCTCAACCTTCCTAACGCTGCGACCCTTTAATACAGCTCCTCATGTTATGATGATGTCCCAATCATAAAATTATTTTCATTGCTGCTTCATAACTGTAACTTGCTACTGTTATGAATCATAATATAAATATCTGTGTTTCCCGATGGTCTTGGGTGACCCCTGTGTGAAGGGTGGCGACCCCCCATGTTGAGAACCACTGTTCTATACCAAGTTTAACATATGACCAAGAGACAGGAGGCCAAGGTCAGGAGATTATCTGGGGATGAGACTCACTTTGCAGAGTTGAAAGAGGCCCGGGGAGGTTGTAGGGCTTGCTCAGGTCAAATGGCTGGGAAGTGGACGCCTTGCAGGGTGCTCTGTGCTGTGAGTCCCTCCCCTGAATTTTCCTTTGAGGTTGAAAACTGCTGCTGCTGCTGCTGCTGCTGCTGCTGCTGCTGCTGCTGCTGCTGCTGCTGCTGCTGCTGAGTCTACACTGTGGGAGTCCGGAGGATGGGAGAGTCATGGCCGCTGGGAGATTCGCAGAACGCACATGTGGGAGACTTCCTAGAGGAGAAAGCCTTTCCCGGCCTAGCTGGTCAGAGTGCTGGGAAGGGAGACTGTGGAAGGGAATGTCCTGTGCCATGTCAGGCTTGGGGAGGGAGAGACCTGCTCGGCCGGGATGGGGGACCGTGGGTTTATACTCTGGTCACTGTAAGAGCAGGGAGGAGAGTTCTGTTCGGCTGTTCTGGAAAGGAGAGGTGTGGTTTCTTGTTTTCATTGTTGTTACTGTTTACTTTTGGTGTTGAGCATGAACTCGGGGCCTCCCCCATGCTATGTGCCTGCTCTGCTGTGAGTGGCACCCTAGCCAAGGAGGAGGGCTTGCTCATGGATACAGGACCAGAGCTGCAGACCCGTCATCGCCATGGGAAGTCAAGCTGGGGTCAATGCTGTCACCCACTTGAAAGTCTCTATAGAAAATGCCCCCCATATGGCTCTCTTTCAGGCTGCCGGCTCATCTCCCTGATGTCCCGACTCTCTCTCCTAGCCCCCCCTAGGGTCCTCCTAAGCTGCACCTCAGCTTTCAGTGTCAGGTGGGGAGACTGTAGGGAGGTTTGGAACAGGATGCTGTCCTCTGACAGCAGCCCACTGGAAGGTTCAGCCTGAGAGAGGCAGGCACTGGGGAGCAGGCCGGCCTGGAGGGTGCAGGGAAGAACTGGAGGACACCATGGACACAGGAACAGGTCTCAGGCCATTGCCTCATCAGGCCCAGGACCATAGACGCCCAGGCCAGAACTCCATGAAGATTCTAACAGGGCCTACTGATGTAGTTGGCAGGCAGAGAAGCTGGTGATCTGGGTCCTAGATCTCAGCCCACAGATGTCACCAAACATCATAGGCCCTCCGAAAGCAGACCAAACCAGCTCTGGTGGGTCCTGTTTCAGAGGGGAGTGTGAGAGTGTGCCAAAGCCCAGCTCAGACCTGCTCCCACCTTTCAAAGGGTTCCTGGGTGGAGGAGAGAGGAATGAGTAAATGATAGAAAGAGACAAGAAAGAGACACAGGATAGCTCCGGGAGGGCCCTGTGTCAATACCCAGCTGCCCAGAGGTTTATTCAAAGGGGTTTTTTATAATATACCAAGGGGAGAGGCAAAAGACCTCCCCTTTGCAAGATCAAAGCACAAAGTACTCACAAGTGTAGACCCTTCCAAACATCTGGCAACCATGTCCCTGGCCAGGTCATCCCATTATGCAGTCCTGCTGGGTAAAGCAAGCCCAGATTCTCTGACCCTGAGTAAGGTCTCACTAGATAACTTCTGTGGGCCTCCACAGGTGAGGAGTCAGGCTTATTAGTAAAGCAGACATGCAGGGACCCACCTGCAGTGCAGGAAAAGGCCTCATCGGGGTCACTTGGTAGCCTGAGCCCCAAAGCAGGTCAGAGGCTGCCCTTTTTGGTCTCTAGAGCTGGAAAGGAGTGTTCTTTTCATATGTCCATGAGCTTGTGGGTCTTGTACTCACACATGAAGTATGAGAAGTAGCCTGGATGGGGTGTCCTGTCCCTGTAGCATGAACACCCCCTTGGACTCTGTGTCATCTACTCCAGGGGCTTCCAGAGTGAGGTGTGCCATATGAGATGCCTGTGAGCAGGCCATGTATAACCTGCACCAACAAGACAGGACTCGGGCTGAGTGTGGGCACAGTGGGAGGACATTGTGGCGAGCAGGAGGCCCTGGGTTTCACTCCCAGCACCAGAAAGAAAAGATCAAGGGTCTCATTCATGATTGTCAGGTGTGGACACTCAGCTCCTGAGTATCTGGCATATCTGTCTGTCTCATGACTCAGGAATCTCTGGGGAGAAGGGGAGATACAGAAAAGGGGTGACTGGGACCACTATCTTTGGTCTGTTTAGTATGATACCCCAATTAGTTAACCTGTTTGATAAATCCAGACTAACCCATTATATTAACAGATTATTAACCATCCATTATATAACTTGACCAACTCTTCTCCAAGGGACAAGTTTATATTTGTTTGTTTGTTTGTTTGTTTGTTTGTTTGTTTGTTTGTTTGAGACAGGGTTTCTCTGTGTAGCCCTGGCTGTCCTGGAACTCATTCTGTAGATCAGGCTGGCCTCGAGCTCAGAGATCTCTCTGTCTCTGCCTGAGTGCTGGGACTAAAGGTGTGCGCCACCACCCACGGCTGACAAGTTTTTAATTGTTTAATTATATTCTGTTCATGTATTTGGTATGTGTAGTTATGTGTGTGTAGAGGTCGGAGGACAACTGTGGAGTCCGTTCTCTCCTTCTATTACATGGGGCCCGGACATTAAACTCAGGAACTCAGACTGTCAGGCTTGGTGGCAATCCCCTTCAGACACTGAGCCATCTTGCCAGCCCCCTAAGAAAAGTGGTTTTAAAAGAGCTGGGTGTGATGCACTTACCTGTCATCGCAGCAGTCAGGAGCCAGAGGCAGGAGGATCCCCACAAGTTTGAGGCTAGTCTGGGCTATGCAATGAGTCTCTGTCTCTCTCTTTCCCTCTCTCCTTCCTTCCTTCTCTCTCTCAGTCCCCCCTCCCCACCCCCCACATACAAGAAACTAAAAACAGTTAATTGTCCTAGCCACACCACCCATGTGGGTTTTTAACTTGGGGACAGTATTTGAAGGGCAGATTAACAGCCACTTTGAATAGCTGTGTATGTATGTGTCGTATCTTTTAGTGACTGGTGATGGGTTCTGGTGTTTATTATAAAATATTGGTCGCCGGGCAGTGGTGGCACATGCCTTAAGTCCCAGCACTTGGAAGGCAGAGGTAGGCAGATCTCTGGCCAGCCGAGTCTACAAAGTGAGTTCTGGGACAGCCAGAGCTACACAGGTTTTGATTCCCGGCACTCACATGGTGGCTCACAGCTGTCTGTAGCTCCAGTTCCAGGGAATCTGATGCCTCTTCTGACCTCCAAGAGCGCCAGGCACACACATGGTACACAGGCATATGCAGGCAAAATGCCTATATACATAAAAATAGTGCTTTTCAAAGTTTGGAAGTCTAGTGGATCTCAAGTGTAATACCAACACACGCGAGGAGCAGAACTCCAAAGTCACCCTTTACTACATAGTGAGTTTGAGGCCAGCCTAGGATATATGAGAACCTGTTTCAAATAAACAAACAAAACATTCATACCCTGGTCTAAACTGGTCTCCTCTTGGGCTTCACCCCATACTTGAGATGGATCTCTATTACACACTTGCACACACGTGCGTACATGTGCATGCATGCAAACACATACAGACATGCTCACACTGACTGCTCTGGGTTCCCAGAGCCCAGCCCAACCTTGACCTGTCAGCCTTGGGAAGATGCTGGCTGAAGCAATGTGTTCAGGTTCATGCCATGGCACTTGGGGCTGCAGGCCTTGCCAGCAGGAAAGATGTCCTTGGCTTTGTCTCCTCTCCTGGCCGCCAGGAGCCCCATGTTTCCAACCCAAGCCACTATCAGTTGAAGCATCTCACCTTTCAAAGGCCTGTGTGCAAAGCCAGGTGAGGTGGCACACACCAGTAATCCCAACATGGAGTGCATGTTCAAGACCAGCCTGGGATACACAATGAGGCCCTTCCCTGAAAAGGAAAAGACGATCTGACCCCCAGGAGGATTCTGATAATGTGAATGACCCCTGACCTCTCCACATACGGCCTTTTCTCCCTGCCTGCCATCCTTGGAATTTGTCCCTCCACAAACAAGTTCCCACTATTACTTAGAGTGATACAGATAAGAGGGGAAATATTTGGTGCTGTAACCAGGCACAGAATGAAAGGAAACTTTGTTCACTGTCCTAGATGACTCCCAGGGCTGCATCCTGTTCCCAGCTCTGCTCTGGGTGGATACTAGCATGCTAACTCAGTTTCCCCTCCTGGGTCTTGCCAGTGTGATCGTTCTAAGTTGAGGAAGATCTGGTACTGAGGGTCCTCAGCCTCCACCTACTGTGTGTGTGTGTGTGTGTGTGTGTGTGTGTGTGTGTGTGTGTGTGTGTGTGTGTGTGTGTGAACCAGGATCCAGACCGGGTGAGGTGAAAGCTTTATACCAAGAGAAGACACCATGAGAGGAAATAAGAAACAGTCCAAAAGCTGGGTGGTGGTAGTGCACGCACTCGGGAGGCATTAGCAGGCAGATCTCTGTGAGTTCAAGGCCAGCCTGGGTTTACAAAGTGAGTTTTAGGACAGCCAGCACTATGCAGAAAAAAAACCCTGTCTTAAAAGAAAGAAAGAAAGAAAGAAAGAAAGAAAGAAAGAAAGAAAGAAAGAAAGAAAGAAAGAAAGAAAGAAAGAAAGAAAGAAAGGAAGAAGGGAGGGAGGGAGGGAGGGAGGGAGGGAAGAGAAGAGAAAGAAAAAGGAAGAGAGAGAGAAAGGAAAAAAGAAAAAAGAGTCCCACAAGGAAATATCCAGCCTGGATCAGAGCCATCCCCATAGTCTGTGGTCAGGGACCTCCGATGTCTGTGAAGCTGTCACTGTAGAAGCCACAGATGGCTGGTCGGGCTCCGGGGACTGATGGCGGCAGCAGAAGCCAGAAAATTGCACTCCCAAAGGAGTGAGTTCTCCATCACAGGCAGATGCAAGCCAGTCGTCCTCAGGGTTGAGCAGGAAAGGTGTGGAATGGGAGGCAGGGAGCCAGACCGGCCTGACCGAGCCTGGTCAGCTCTGGGACTCTGTGTGCCGTCTCTCTCTCTCTCTCTCTCTCTCTCTCTCTCTCTCTCTCTCTCTCTCTCTCTCTCTCTCTCTCTCGCTTCCTTGAGCAGTGCCAGGCCCGTGTGAGAGGAAGAGCTGGTGGGTCTGGCAGAGAATTCCATTCTGAGTCAGCATGGTGGCGTGCAGGATACAACAGACTTGCTCTGGTTTCTTTTAGTGGTAGGGACATAGTGTGTGCGCACTACACACACACACACACACACACACACACACACACACACACACAAAGTGCTGCCTCGAAGTAAAGGAACATGGCCACCTTTGTTCCGCTCCAGCCCTCTCTGAGCCCAAGACACTTTAGTCCTGCAGACCACTTAGATCCGAGCCTGGCTCACAGCAAGGTCTTGGAAAGTCTCCATTCCTTACCCCTTTAATTTCCAGCCTTTCATTCATTATATAGTTGAGGATGACCTTGAACTGCTGCTTTTCCTGCCTCTGCTTCTCAAGTGGCTGAGATAACAGGCGTGTACCACCACCACACCTGGATTTCCAGAGGTGCTGGTGACCAATCCCTGGGCTTCATGCATTCTAGGCAGTCAGTCACTCTACCAAACGGAGCTACGGCCCCAGCCCAGATCTCCTTATTTAAAGCAGGTGTGTCTTTTGACTCACTTTGAACCAGGCGGGATGCCAAGGGCTTGACAGACGTTAAAGCATCTTCCAAATGAAGAAACTAAAGGAGGTCTCCCGGCCTGTGTGGTGGGATGAAGTGTGAGCCTGGCAGGTGGGCTCCCAACCACATCCCTGATGGTTGCATGCATGGACCACCATGTTTCCTACATAAATCCAGCCCCTTTCCCCCATTCCCCCTTCAAGGCTCCCTGCGGCCTCAAGAGGGCAAGCTAGATGCTAATTTATTCCCTTTTATTAGCTGAAGTACAGGAGCCAGGACCCTTCCTTCTCCAAAGGGGACAGTGGTCAGGAAGAGCCACCACTGCCTAGACCTAAGTGGGGAAAGGTCCATCAGGCATGTTCTGCAGCAGAGAGGACACCTCAGCCACCAGGGTCCTCGGCCAAGAAGGCCTCGAGTAGCCAGAAGACAGACAAGAGCAAGCATCAGTGGGGAGCCCCCTGTCCCAGCCCCCACCCCTAAGGCCATACCAGGAACTGGCTCTGAGGCCCAGGAAAAGCTGGAGGTTGGGAGCTTTGCAGAGAAGTGGATGCTATCCACTCCGCCAAGGGAAACTGGGTATGACCCACATCTTCCCCATAGGGTGGTGGTGAAGAGGAAGATGGACAGTGGCCTGGAGGGACTTCACAGATCCTAAGCAGGATGGAGAGCAGCGGTCCTTCCAAGTACAGTAGCCCCCAGACTGGCTGCCTCATGGCCACTGGAACTTCGAAATGTGGGCTCCCAGACCCTGAGTCAGAAACTGTTAGGTGGCGGATGTGGTGCCCACGTGACTAGAACCAGTTCTCTAGGGGTTTCAAATGTCAGACCCCAGTAAACACGTGTAAACCAGGTGCTGTCACCTCCCTCAACCGTCCGTCCTGGGACAGAAGCACCTCCTCCTGGGGACACTGGTATCCCTTTCCTGAACTCTTCACCCCCAGCTCCTGGCTGCTACCAGTTGTGATCTGGCAGGCGGAGCTGTTTGGCCTCTGCCCTCCAGCCTTCGTGGAGGATCTGGGTAGAGCCCAGGAGGCTGACAGCGGAAGGTCCTGCCAGCTGTTACAGGCCTGCCTGGGGAATTAAGGCTGACCGCAAGCATTTATCTCCATGGTGACAATCGGGTGAGAAAGAAGCAGGGAGAACTTCCCATCACCCTCCTTGTGAGGGCTGAGCAGCATCGAGATGTCCCTATCAGGGATCTTTAGTCACAAGTTAGTCACAGGGTCATCCTGAGCACAGCCACGGATGACCTCAGACTCCTGCATTTCTGTAGCGGCGGCCGTCACCAGCCTGCATGCAGTAAACCTCACTGATTTCCTCTTAGACCAGCCTGGCTTGAGGAAAGAAAATCCCTTCTCAGCTCAGGGGTCCTGGTTCCCTCTGGGCAGGCCTGAGACCCCTGCAGCTCTAATCACGTGACAGCTCCACTCACAGACCTTGATGACCTCCTTTCTCTACGGGCCGAGCCCTAGGCTGATCTTCCGCACCCTGGCCAGATGCAGGACCTCCTACCCCAGACTAGACCCTCTTGCTTCTTATGCTCACCTACACACCATGAACCCTACGTGTATCTCACATGCCGTGCTGGGCCTGTCGATGCAAGGCCTCCCTCTCACCTGGTCTCCTTCCCCCTTCTGCAGGGCTTGCTTCTGCCTTGAAGCATCCTCCCCACGTCCCTCCTGGGTCCTGAGATCACTGTCCGCTGCTTCAGATTGCAGCTAGGGGACAAGGGCTGGAACTCGGTGGTAAGGCATTTGCCTAGAGTGTCTGAAGCCCTGGGTTCAGCCCCAGTCAAAAATAGATCTCAGCTCAGACCATTCAGCCTTGTTCACCAAGAAGGAGCTCGATGCTTTCCTGATGTCTCCCACACCCCAGTCAACTGAACACACACACATCAGTTCGACTGTTTCTACTTTGTCCTTACCTCTGGCCCATGGCTCCTAGTGTGGCACCAGGTTCAGAGGGCAATGGGAACCTCTATAGGACTGATTGTGTGCTCATGGGGGTCTGTGGCTTAATCCCCATCCTAGACAGTAGCTACAGGGCCTCAGCCCTTCTGTGTTCCCTGTGTATACTTGGGAGCTTCTCAGCCCAAAGGTAGATCTGGAGGATATAATAAACTATTGGGCAGGGTGCAGAGGGTGGGACCTGCAGGTTTGAGCCTCCAGGAGGCATCAAGGAAGCTTCTTGGTGACCTTGTGGCCAGAAAGTCCCAGATAAAGGCCCAATAAACCTTCATGGAGTTTGTCTTGGGGTAATAAATAGGAAAGGGTTCTATTCTGGGTTTCTAGAAGGTTGAGGAAGCAAGGAGTCAGCTCTCTGTGGACTGGGACAGCTGATGGATAGTGCACGGTCCTCGTGGGCTTTGGAGTACCTGGCTGTATCACATGCAGGCTCCAGACCCTCTGTACACCATCCTTACTGGTGGACCAGCCAGTGATATGACCATTAATGGGGTGGATGGGAAAACAGAGAGGAATTGGATCTGCTCAAGATCACAAATCAGTGTCAGAGTTAAGACTCTCCGGCCTGCCTGACACACATGCTGTGAGAGAGGCAGTCCCAGGCCCTCTGCTCAGAGGGCCCAGAAGAGTGACATTTCCAGCCAGGGTTCAACAGCCCCTGCCTGTGGACCCTTTAGTCTGTGGGTGAGCGAAGCAGACAGAGGAACCATTTGAACTTAGTCCTGTGGGAGAAGGGGCAAGGAGCATCCTCTATGAGCCTGAGTGCAAGACAGTTTGCACACATCCCCTAGTCCTCCAGAGTCAGTGGGGCAAATAATGAGATAGGTATGTTGTTGGCAGTGCTGGGGATGGATCTTCACTTCACACATGCTAGGCAAGTCCGTTACCATCAAGCTATATCCCAGCCCTCCTTTC